CCTTCCCAAATTTCCATCTGCAGACCATGGTACAAAAACACACAACCTCATAGAGCGCCAGACAAAAAAATAGTGTATCACCTACATTATGATCAGTGCACAAGAAACCAAAACCTTCAAACTTCTTTCAATATCTCCCACATACTGTTGACTTACATGTGCACAATCGGAAGAACAATCCAAGAAGCACTTCGACAAATCACCTGCCCGAATACTTACCTGAACGCTGCAAACTTCTGCGCGGACTGTTAGCCCCTGATGACGACATGTTGGGGAGAGGTGGTCGAAACAATTGTAGGTTTTTTTCACCACTTTGCTTCATGCCATGGCGCATTGTTTTCTGAGGCTGGTTCTTCACAAACATTCTACGAGCCAACTTGCGCTCGGGCTCTTTTGTCCTTTTGACTTCCCTGTGTCTGATCTCCCTCCTCCTTTGTCGTCTTTTAACCGTGCTTGCATGGTCAGTCTGTCGGTTGTGGATTTCTATCACCCCCCAGGATGCATCAATGGACCGTGCACTTGCGTTTCCGGTCACCTAATGTCGCGCTGAGGGGCCCGGAGTCGATACGTTGGAAGGTACTAGTGGTTTAATGGTACTGTGCTCAATTTACGGTACAACATGATGGTACACTCTTTTCTTTTTGTTTTCCTAGTGTCAGATGACGGTATGCTGCGATTGCTTTCTAGTATCTACTATTTCCTCTGCAGAGCAAAGCAATCAATGCTGGCAGGCTTCTTTTCTCAGTTTCTGATATTCACTCTGTATAAGGGACGCTGGCCGTTTTCCAGCAGGTGATGCTCCCCACCAATAGATGGAGCCCCTCCCCGGGTGCTAGTGGTGTCTTCTTCATCAGCGCCACTAGCACTGCAGGGGGCATGTGTTAAACCACCACTACCTCCGAACCTGTTTTTGCCGACCCTGATTTTCACTGCGCACCGAGTTTGGCCGAGCCGGGGCAGTTTCATCGAAGAAAGAACAAGGGAAAAAAAAAAAAAAAAGATTTCCCGAACGCCTTGATAACCACCAGATGCATTCCATGAGTTGCTTGTGTGACTGTGCCCTCAGTGTGGGCGTGCACTGGAAGAAAACAAAGAAGCAACGACAAAAAAAAAAGGAATCCCTTATCCTGTGATTGAGGACAGATACATGATGCTACAGCAGTGAGACAGTTACGTGCCACCCGTGAAACACGCCCTGCCTGGCTGGCAGGGCACTACAAAGGAATTCAAAACAAAACAAAAACAAAAACGAAGTGCAATCCCTTGTCCGACATAGTGGCCAGATACATTCGTCAAAGCAATGGTATAACTTCCACCCTCGTGAGGGCTTTCCCCGACATCCCTGGACTGGGGACTTTTTGTTTTCTTTCTTTTTTTTTCTTCGTTTTTCTCTTCTTTTTTGTTCTTTCTTTTTCGTCGGCCTCCAACCCTGTCCCGAGCCCCGTGTTTTCAGGAGTAGGCTACTAGATGGACTTTGCGTTTGCCCGTGAAAGGTAGTGGTGGTTTAAAAAAAAAAAAAAAAAAAAAAAAAAAAAAAAGTATTTACTATTTATTGATTGTAGCGGTTACAGTGTAGCATGCAGGAACCCCTCATTATTTTCATTCCATTTTCGGCAAAGTGCTTCTGGAAAGGACCACGTCAAAGTGCTTGGTACAATCCGCCGACACACCTCTATAATGTAAGGAGGGTGGGGCCATAATCCGCCGAGACACCTGTACAATGTAAGGGACGCTCGGCGCGTTTCCCAGCTGTGTACATAAAAAAAAAAAACAAAAAAAAAATGCAAGCATGGGCGGCATAAACGATTTTATGTGTGTACACGAGGATGAAGAAGAAGAAGAAGAAATAAATGAATGTCCTTTGAATTTTGAAAGACCATGAGACAAAAAAAAAAAGAAAAAAAAAAAGACCATGAGACCTCTGTGACAAGTTGCAAGCATAGCATATCTCTGAGGCTTTTTTTTTTCTTTATTTTTTTTTGTGGGGCCCAGTGCCCAATTCAAGTATACACAAGCATCTATGTAAACTGGTGAAACAAGATATTCGCAGCAACACCGACCTTGTGTCCACATCAAAGCGTCCCTGGAAAGAAACGCAGGCAGAGAGAAATGTTCGTGTCTCTAGTCACGTCCACATTGCGCATAGAGAAATGCGCTCACAAAACCACCATGGCCTAGCCATACATAAGCACATATCTATCAACAGTCCCCTTTTTTATTTTTCCTGGCTCCAATTTATTGGTGGGGAGCTGCACCTGCCAGCAACCGGGTCCAGCGTCCCAATTACCGCAGTCCTCAAGTCCAGGGCACGGAAACGAATGGCTGCAAAAAAATGGTCTTGTAAACTGCCCTCAGCTTGGTCAAACTTCAGTCCGCTTGGTCAAACCTCAGAGGTCTTTCCTGAATGTCTTGAGGGATGCCTGCTCACCCGGCAGCCTGCCCACTGTTTTTCGAATTTACGAATACCATCTCTCTCTCTCTCTCTCTCTCTCTCACACAC